TTTATTATTTAATATATCAGATTGGGTGTAGACATCCTGGACTTAAGTTTGAGAGACAATTCATTAGGAAATAAGGGTTAGGTTTACTTTGTATTCAGGTCTTCTGCAGGTTTTTTGTTTTTGCATGACTGATCATCATCAGTAGGTATTTACACAATGTTTATCTTATGACTACTTAGCACAGATTGGTCCTAGAAGATAAAAGCTTTTCAAATGAAGACTGGAGTTTAAAAAAATATTGTCATATTAAACTTGAATAATTTATTAGCACTTTCCAATTAAAGGTAAATTTATTTACCTTTAACAAAATAAACTTTGAGAGCTATCAGACTTAAACTGCTATTTTGTTTGTAGTATTCTACTCAAAATTGGGATTGAAATTGGGAATATAGTTGAATTTTTTATTAAAAATAAAATGTTTAAAAGACCTGTTGTATGATTTTTTGTGAAATATAACATGAAATTCACATTTTAGCTTCTTAATGTGTACAGTTCAGTGACATTAAGTACATTTATGCTGTTTTGTTACCATCACCCCATCTGTCTCCAGAACAGTTTCATTATCTCAAACTGAAGCCCTGAACATGAAGAGTCATGTTAAATGACTCTTCATTTCCCCATCCCCAGCCTTGGAACCACTATTCTACTTTTTGTGGATTTGATTATGGATTTAAAGATTCCTGTCCTTAATCATTGTCCAAACCAATAAATAGTGCTGTTATGGATGTGCTACCTCTTTTAATATGACTGTAACATAACTAAATGCATAATTGCCTTATATTGGGAAATGGTGGGTGCTTCTTGTTAAGGACCTGAAACTAATCAAATTTAGTCACTGCTCCTAGCCATCACTAACCTTACATGCTCACTGGAGTCTGATCATTTCTCTCATTTAAGAAAACAATAATTCTAGAAAATTACTTTTAAGTGACAGGTCAGATGGATTTTTTTGCATATGTTCTTGGTATTCCAGACTTTTTACCAGCCTCCCCGGAGAAAGATACAAAGGCTTAGTTTTTAAATATTTTTTATGTCTTAGCTTATTAATGTAATGTCATTGTGGACACTGGGCAACAATGAAGAACAAGACCATTCAAACTGATAAATTGAAGATGGCTTTTGGTCATTTAAAGAGCAATAGGAATTTTGGAAATTTGAAAGAAAATGTTACCTTCACCAGGTGGCTTGTCTGGATTGTAAACTTTGTTTAGGAAACTAAGCAGCAGCAGGAGACACAGCCCATGACCTGTCTGGAAGAAAGCAGCAGTGAGTAGGCACGTAGGGCTGCCTGTTCTAAGGGCCCGAGACGAGTACAGTCTTCGGCATGTAGAGGAGGAATCCATGAATCCTCAATGGACACTAAGTGGAGAAAGGTTCTTGAGATCCGTGGTGGCTACAGTGGTTGCTGAAGGCCACAAGCCATTTAGATAGTGCACATGGAGAAGGAAGTTGCTGTGAAATGGAGTTGCCTTGGTGGAGGAGGCCACTAGAGTTGGGCTTAGATCTGGGGAAGAGCTTAGGGCTTGATCCGTTCAGCTGCAGAACGTGGTATAGTCTGTGGAGGAGAATAGGGCTTGGGCCCTTGAGCAGCACTTGGATAAACCTAGTGGAACCCTGGCCTTTTGGAAGCTTGATGAACTTGTACTTTTAAAACTTGCCTGGGAATGGTGCATAGGTGAATCAGGGAAGGTAAATTATTTAAGAGTGGTTAAAATAATTTAATTATTTAATGTTGAGATGCCGAGGGTGTCCACATTTACTCAATTGCAGTTTGAGTGGCCAAAGTGACAAAGAAGTTGTAAATACAGAGGCTGACCCAAATGGGATGAGAAAAAGGTCAGTAATGACTATAGTGATTAGGTCATGATTTACATAGCATAAATTCTAATATGTACAAATGTATAGATGATGAAAAGTGAGTGCTGTATTTAGGATCTAGGATGTCCCCCAGAGACCTGTATGTAAAGGTCCTAGTCCCCAGAACGAGGAGGAGGTGGAAACTTTAGGAGGTTGAAACTTTAGGAGGTTGGGCCTAGTTTTGGAGATCTTTAGGTCATTGGGAGCTCACCCTCAGGGGATTATGGGGCTCAGCCTTTGGTGAGGTAAATGGCTTTGCTCCAGCACGTGCTTCTGACAAGATGTGCTTAGCCTCCCTTCCAGAAGTATAAAAGCAGTGGGCCCAACTGGATTGAAACCTCTCAAATTTTGAGCTAAAAATAAACCTTTTCTCTTTATAAGTTTATTATCTCAGGTATTAGTTACAGTAACACAAAGCGGACTAACAGCCTCTCTCCTAAGTTTGCCCTTTAGTTTCACCCTACCAATGTTTACACATTCTCTTATGTTTATGCATAAACTACATTTTTATTTAAAAAGGTCATCCATCCTTCATGTTCACTGATCAATACCTTGTTTATTTTAATCATCTAGCAATGTATTTTGGAGATAGCCTGTATTAATACATGAAGCACTCCTCTATTAGTTTACTTAGCCAGTCCCCAGTTAATAAAAATGTAATTCTTTGGTTGTTACAAGTCGTATAGTGAATATCCTTGTTCATATATTCTTTTGCTTACATACCGAGAGGTGTTTATATATGTAGGTTCACATTACTGCAAGTGGTAGTCCTGAATTAAAGGTACATGCATTTAAAATGTTGCCCGATTGTCTTCCCATAAGGTTTTGCCAGAATTGCCTATTTCTTAGACCCTCATCAACAGCGTATTACTGATTTGAACTTTGCTGGTCTGTAGTTTAAAAAAAAATCTCATTGTCATGTATATATATATATATATATATATATATATATATATATATACACACATGTGTGTGTGTTTTTATATGTAATTATCTATTTATTTATTTATTTATGTGGGCTGAGGATCGAACCCAGTGCCTTGCCCATGCTAGGTGAGTGCTCTGCAGCCAAGCCACAACCCAGCCCCTCATTGTCATTTTTAATTAGCATTTTTCTGATGAGTGAGATTGAGCATCTTTTCATAATTTTTAGAGGACTTTGTAATTTTTTTGGGGGGAAATTTCCTGATAATAGATTTTTTTTTTTTTGTGCTGGGGGATGGAGCCAGGGCATTCGAGGCAAGCACTCTACCAACTGATATATCCCCAGCCCTGCTGATTTCTAGTGCTTTCTCATAAATCATGATTCTGTAATGTTGGTATAATTAATATTGGAATAATATTAAGACAGCAGTCAACTATTCCTGTTTTATTTAAAGTTTGTTTTAATCAAGGGTGAATGCCTCTGGGTGTAGTGGCGTATACCTGCAACCCCAGCTACTCAAGTGGTTGAGGCAGGAGGATTGCAAGTTGAAATTTAGCAAGACCAGCTGATGGATTGCAAGCCTTAGCAATTTAGCAAGACCCAGTTTCAAATACTGAAATGAGCTGGGATGTGGCTCTGTGGTACAGTGCCCCTGGGTTTAGTCCCCAGTATAGAAGAATATAAAAGTGAATGTCAGCTTTTTCAGATGCCGTTAGAGTGTTTGGGGAGCTGATTATATGATTTTTCTGTTTTGCTCATAGGATAATTAGAGGAACAGATTTCTTGTCTTTAATTTTCCCTGTATACTAGTGTGACTACCACCCACTGCCTGCTCTGGCCCAGGAGTAGTATTCTCCTAGTGGTTTCTGAGTTTGTCTGTGAATATTTTACATGGGATTTTGTATAGCGTAAGAATGCATAGTGAATAAGTGTGAATCTGTGGTTTATATCCTACACTTAACTGAAAACAACTTTTCAGAGATCATTGATAACCTCCTAGTGATTAACACCCCCCATACACAATTTATAGTGTTTCATTCTATTCAACTTATCTGTGATATTTCACCCCCTGACCAGTGTTGTTACTCCATTTTCCCAGTGTGTTCTCCTTCCTCAACGCCTGTGAGGCTAGGAGTCATGCTTCCAGCTCCTTGGTGGACTCTTTGTCTTCTTCCTCTGAGTGTCTTCCGGTAGCCTCCCTCTTTGGCCTCCCTACTTCTAGGATGACATTATCACTAGTGTGGCGTGTGTTCTCTCTCGTTGCGCTAGCTTAGTCCCTCTCTTGGATTAACATGGGTATGTTCTGCTTTACCTCAAATATAGTGTGCTTGAAATAAACTCAGTCTTCACCGCTCTACCAAGTCACTCTCTGTTTGACATACCTGCTCCTGTTCCTTGTAACCTCTAAGGTTTTTTTGGTGATTCTGGCTCCAGCATGTATTGAATGCTTGCTGAGGAGCGAGAGGGAAGATGGCAACATGGAAGGCAGGCAGCAAATGTACATTTCTTTTTCAAAAAGGTAAATGCAGGGCTTGGTGGTGCACATCTGTAATCCCAGCACCTTAGGAAGCTGAGGCGAGGATTGCGAATTCAGAACCAGCCTCTGCAACAGTGAGGTTCTAAGCACCTCAGTGAGACCCTGTCTCTAAATAAAATACAAAATAGGGCTGGGGATGAGGCTCAGTGGTCAAGTGCTCCTGAGTTCCATTCCTGGTACCCTGCCCCCTCCAAAATAAATCAACTTAATGGAGTAGAGCAAAAAGTAAGAGTTTATAGAGGTGGGGAGCTTGAGGTAAGCTTGATTTGTTTGAGATGGGAAATGGTCAAGAGTGAGAGGTATCAGACGCAAGGATCAAACAAGTTAAGGGAGCAGTGTGTAGCAAGTGACTAAGCCTGAGTCATGTGGTCACCTCAGCTCCTTGGTGGACTCTTTGTCTTCCTTCTTCCTTGAGTGTCTTCCGGTAGCCTCCCTCTTTGGCCTCCCTACTTCTAGGATGACATTATCACTAGTGTGGTGTGTGTTCTCTCTCGTTGCGCTAGCTTAGTCCCTCTCTTGGATTAACATGGGTGTGTTCAGAGGGAGCAAAGATGGAAGGCAAGATCCAAGTGCAGGAACGTGAGGCTTGTGCTAATAGAAGGGTGTGACTTGATTCCTGAGGAGAGTGGATGCTGTAAGTCCTATCAACACTTTCTTTGATGAGTGTTCTCTCTGTATTAGGTGAACTGCTTTCGAGAGACTTTTCAAGTCTGCAGGAGGACCTGGAGCCATCAAGGGCTCTCTCTGCACGTGGTTGGTGCCCACAGTTATTTCTTGAACACAAGGCCACATCAACAGGTACATTCTTTCTCCAGGGAATACTGCTTTTAGTGATATCTCCTTTAGGGGTTTGATATTAGGAGCCAGGTGGATAAGGAATTAATGTCTCTGAATGCTGGTCAGACCACTTAGGCCATGTTGGAGTATCTTTCTTTAGTGATGACTACTGGATAGCAGCAAGCCACACCCAGTGAGCAGTGCCCTAGTCCCTTCTAAGAGAGGCTGACTCTTCCTCCTTCCCTTGGGTTCCTGATATTATTCAGATGCTGCCCATTTTCATGGGGCTCCTTCACCCCAATTTGGCCCCGATTGTTAAGAAGTTCATAAATATGGGGAATGTAGTTTGTTTTTCTCTCTCCTTTCTGCCTGTGGTTTCATCTGCCTACCCAGAACACATTTATCCCTCCTCTTGCATGATAGCATTTCAAACATGGAAGCTCTGCCCGTTTGATATTTCTCTGTCTCCAGCCTAAACCTTCTGATTTTTGCTTTTCCTTTTCTAAATACTTAATTTCTGGACATGTACACTTTTCTAGGTATGATTTAATTTCTGTAGGCTTGCATTTAGTACATATGATAGGGGACATTGGAATGATTATCTCTAAGGAGATCACATCACTACCTCTCCCATTGTTCATAAATAGAGTAATAATCTGACTAGTGGGTACAGTAGCACACATAATTCCAGCTATTTGGGAGGCTGAGGCAGGAGGATCGCCAAGTTCAATGCTGGCCTCCACAATTTAACGAGCCTCTGCCTCAAAATTAAAAAAATAAATAAATAAATAAAAAGGGCTTGGGATGTAGCTCAGTGGTAGAATACCTCTGGATTCAATTCCTAGTAACCACCCGCCCCTCCAAGAAAAAAAACTATAATCTGATTAATTGTCTTTATTTACAGTAATTCATAATGCTTATCATAAAGGCATTAAGAATTGTATGCTTTTATTCAGAATGTAATGTGCTTTTCCTACCCTGTGCCCCTGCTTTGTCACTCTGCATATAAAAAATGCATATGTGCAGCATATATAATATACATAATTATGTATATATGCATAAGTATATGTACAGCACATAAGATAGCATATGTAATTATATGAATAATATGTAACCTACATAATTATATATACTTATATATTTTTTTGTAATTATATGTGTATGTGTGTGAGAAGAAATATTTTCCACATCTCATTTTCCAAATTAATTTTAGTATAATTTCAGAATCTTTCAGAGAATGGCCCAATCTTTTAAAGTTTTAGGTCTCATTTCTTTTCTGGCTTTTTTGTTTGTTTGTTTTGGTGATGGTAGGGATTGAATCCAGGAGTGTTTTACCTTTGAGCTATACCTCCAGCCATTCTTAAAATTTTGAGACAGGGTCTCACTAAGTTGCCCAATCTGGCCTTGAACTTGCGATCCTCTTGCCACTGTGCCAGGCACATGCCTCTCTGAGTCCTGATACAGAAAGCCTGGCCTGTTGAAACCTAACTCAGAGCAAGGCTGAGGTTGTGGTCCTGGATCTGACCCTGTCTATGGAGCACAGTTGTCACCCATGACCTGTTCCTGTGTTGGCTTCCATTAAGCTCTAGCAAGGAGGTATCCACAAGTGAAGAGCCTGACAATGTCTTTTATTACTTGGGAATATTGATTATGTTTTTATGTTGAGTTTTTTTCCAAAGGAAAGGAGAACATTTCCTGCTTTTGATAAAGTCCTTTAGCGTATGTTGTGGCTTATTTTGTATATTGAGTTCATGACATTCCTTTGCCAAACTTGGCTTCTCCAACAGCTCAGTTTGTCAGTCTGGGTCATCGTCATTTGCTATGTATGTACCTTGTGTTAGGTAGTGATGGTATTGGTAAGTGAAGAGAGAAGAAAAGAAATGGTGGAGTCGCACTAATGATGGCACTGCTCTGATCCTCAGAACTGCTTGTGTAAGGGTCCTAAATCCTCCCAAGATGGTTCCTTCCTAGTTGCAGTATTTCCTTCTCTTGCCCTCATTCCCTTCTTGGCACTAGAATGGCCAGTTTTCCTTTGGCTGCTACTTCTTACTCCTGAACCTACAATTAGCTTGCCTCCTGGCCTGGTAGAAGCCCACCAAAGAGAATTTTTAGTTTTCAGTTCTTCTATACTTTCCTTCCACATCTCATCCATCTCCCCTCCTAGACAAAGAGTCTTCCAGAATGGACTTGGCTTGCATTGAGGCTGTGATGTTACTTGGAGGACCTGGAAGTATGCCACAAATTGTGATTCAGCAGTAGCTCTGTGTATATGAATGATTGGATCATGTAAATCTCTTCCAGAAAGAACATGTATTGTCTTGAGCAACTAATAATAATAATAATAAAAGAACATTATTAGTATCAGTGGAGAAATGTTTTTAAGACCCTTGAAGCTAACTTCAGTTCATGTTAGCTCTAGGCTTTTTTTTTTTTTTTTCTTTTTCTTTTTTCTCCCAAGAGATAACTCATCTTTGGGAAATTTAAAGATGTTCACCCTATAAAAGTCAGTGAATAGGGATGACTGACAAGAGGCCACAGAGCCCTCTACTCATTAGAATTTCCAGCTTACCAAGTGTAGATGTCTGACAGCTTCTCCTATAACATCTTCTTTCTCTCATTTTCGTTTTTGTCTTCTTTCTGATTCCCACCCTGCCTGGTCTCAGAGCATTCCTTTCATCTCTCAGGAGATCACTGCTTCCAAGAAGTTCTTTCCCATCACTCATTAGTGATGTCACAGTTATGACTGGGTAACAAGATTTTCTTCTCTAGGTCTTGTTTTCCATCTGTGCTGAGCCAAGTGCTTGTCTGCTGTATCTTGTCCAACCATCTGTCCTGAGTTTTTGCTGTCGTTGTTTTTGATATTTCCAGTTAATAATTTGGAGCAGCAGCTTTTGATGTCTTTTTGTGAGGTCAGGGTTATCTTCCCCTTTATACTCTTAATCTTCTCACCAAATGTTTCCTAATACTGTGGCATTTGATGACAAGTGTTCTAGGACATAGCCATGACCTGTGGTTTTGAATATATGTGGCTGCATTCTCCCAAATTTTCTTAACAAAAACATGTGCTATCAGATGGGGTTTCTAGCTCAGTGGTAGAGTGCTTGCCTATCCTGTGTGAGGCACTGGGTTTGATCTCAGCATCACATATCAATAATAAAATAAAGGTGCATTGACAACTAAACAAATATTTTAAAAAATGCTGTGGCAGGCACTGTTCTAGGTGCTGGTGATAGTAGGAGGTGAGGTTTGGCGCAGACACAAGTCCCTCCTCTTAGGGAGCTTGCAGTCTTCTTCACAGAATTAAAAAACAAACTTTTTTATTTTTATTTTTTGGAACTGGGATTAAACATAGGAGTACTCTGAACCCATGAGCCACATTCTCATCCTTTTTTTATTTTATTTTCGGACAGGGCCTGTAAGTCACCAAGCATGGCCTCAAACTTGCCATCTTGTTTCTTTGGCCTCCTGATTCTCTAGGTCCACAGTGTGTGTGTGCCATTGCACCTGACTAAAGAATGTACTCTTTAGGGATAAGGAAATATCCTGCTCCAATGACTTTTTCATTTTTAAGGGTATCAGGGATTAAACTCAGGCACTGAACCACTGAGCCCCTTCCCAGCTCTATTTTATATTTTTTTAGAGATGTGGTCTCACTGAGTTGCTTAGTGCCTCACTTTTGCTGAGGCTGGCTTTGAACTTGGGATCCTCCTGCTTTAGCCTCTAGATTCTCTGGGATCACAGTGTGTGTGCCACTGTACCTTACTAAAGAACATACTCTTAAAAGATAAAGAAAAAATCCTTCTCCATTGACTTAAAAAAAAATTTTTTTGTAGTTGTAGATGGACGATATGCCTTTATTTTATTAGTTTATTTTTATGTGGTGCTGAGGATCAAACCCAGTGCCTCACATATTGTAGGCAAGTGCTATGCCACTGAGCTACAATCCTTGCCCTCCCTTGACTTTTTAATACATAGGTGGGAGAAATCAATTACAGGGTAGTCTGTCATTATTTCACACTCTGATTTTAGGCAATATAGTTATGGAGTCTTTTTTAATTCCATCATCAAAATGATGCTGGGACAGGGGATGCAGCTCAGTGGTACAGTGCTTGTGTGCCATGCATAAGGCCCTGGGTTCCATTTCCATCATTGGGAAAAAAGTTGGGATTTAGGTATTTGGCTCCACGGTAGAGTACTTGCCTAGCATGTACTGGTTTGATCCCCAGCACCTCAAAACAAAGTGGTGGTAATTTTAGGGCAGTTGTGAGATGTGTGCATGTGCATGCATACACACACACACACACACACCCACCCCACACACATGCACAGTTCTTTAAGCTAATAACAAGAGTTCCAGATTAATTCAAGGTACTGCTTTTATAGATGTAAATGAGCCTTTGCATGTTCTCTTCTAGAGTAACAAACTGTTTAATGTTTTAAAAGTTGTATACTTTTAAAATGTTTTTCTTAGTTCAGTATAATTTTACATAATCTTGGGGTTCATTTTGACATATTTAAAGTTGTACACTTTAATTTATGTGTTACCCTTATATAATAATTTTGTATTTTCCCTACATTATAGTAAGTAGCTTTTATGAATGGTGTGAATGGCAATAGGTATTTTATTTATAAGAACAAATTTCGACAGCTTCCCCATAATAGCCTGAAAAGACATGCCTGACACATGAAAATTATTTTCTTAAATCCCATGTATTAAGCAAAAGCATCAACTCATTTATTCTAGGTTGAACTTTTAAGATGTTTAACTCTTGACATTAATATTGTAAGGAGTATGTTTCTCCTATGTGCTACATTTTCTTCGGAATTGATATGCCCTTGGAATGGAAGAATTATGATGGTTGATTCAATTTAACAGCAATAACTACCATCCTAAAAAATGTAAGAAATGTTGATCAAATACCTTAATGGCACTTTTAATGTATAATATGAATCAACTTCCAAATTTAAGCCAAAATTTTTCTTTTTTTATACTTAGGAGTCTGGAACCTTCAACAGAGGTCTTAGGGCCCACATCATGTACAACCACAAGAATATGATGTTAATTAGAATAAGTTATACTACATATATGAGATGTCAAAATACATTCTAATGTATATCAAAAAAGAATTTAAAAAATGGAGAAAAAGAGAAGTCTTAGGGCCTGATATTTTTTAACCTCCATACCTGCTTTCTGCTGGCTCATGGCAGATGACTAGATGTGTTGGGGAGGGATTAGTAATACTTACAGGCTTATGTTTTCTCATGCAAAGGTTTCTCTCACATTCTGCACAAAACTGCCAGGTTCTGTGCACCTAACTCATGATTCCTTACTCATCGCCTTTTTAACACTGGAATTGCAAATTCAATGGGACAAAAGATCATCAAAGTAATTCACATGTCTATTTTTTGACAATTTAAGATACATAATATATTTATTTTTAAATTTTTAAAGTTTAAGACAGCCTAGACAAAATAACTTAAAGAGTTTTAGGTCTGGGGTGTGGCTCAGTAGTAGAGCGCTCTCCTAGCACATGTGAGGCACTGGGTTCGATCCTCAGCATCACATAAAAATAAATAAATAAAGGGAAAAAGTAACATAAGAGTGTTTCATGTAGAATGTGCTCATGGTGAATGTGGCTCAGTTTTTCTATTTGAAATACAGAAACTCAAGGTTGACATGCCTGTTTTGATGCCTTGTGATTGGTTAAGATAATCAAGATCAACCTTAGCAAGTCCCCCTTTTTATCTCTCTGGGTGTGGGTTTAAACAGTTGCAGAATGGAGGCTGTGTTGTTGTGCTTCTTTTTTTAAATTTATTTTTATTTTTTAATTGTTGATAGACCTTTTTCTTAAAAATATTTATGTGGTGCTGAGAATTGAACCCAGTGCCTCACACATCCTAGGCAAGGCGCCACCGCTGAGCCCCAGCCCCAGCCCTGTGCTCTTCTTACATGCAAAATTTCTTTGCAGATATGTTGTTAGAAGCATGTTCCAGGCCTGGGGGGTGTAGCTCAGATGCAGAGTAATTACCTAGCATGTTTGAGGTTTTTTCTCAGTATCTCAAAAAAAGACCCCAAGTAAACCCACGTACCATATATAAATAACCATTTCATATTCTTTTCACTGTCCGAAATAGGCATGATTCATATGGTGTGATGTGTATTCACCCTTCGGAAAAGGCTTTGCTAGACGTCACCTGCCCCTGTGCCTATTTATTTTGATTAGTTCATTCTTGCTATTATGGTCTAATGTAGGAAACTTGGTTTTATCCGGCCTAGGAATCTTCACTTTCATTCTTAGTTCTTTAATTTGATAAGATTTTAATAGAATACAACTTTTGAATGAGTTTTTCTATTCTTTGTTTCAAAATTCAGTACTGCTTCAAGCCATGCTCTGAAGGTTGAGTGCCAGAGGGTTGGGCAGGAGGCACATGAAGAGGCCTGAGAGGCTGGGTGACCCAAATAAATCCCTAAAATACTCAATTTGAGAGTAAAAGAAAATCTCCATTGAATTATAATTTCTAGGAAAAAGAAGCTTAAGATCTGTCTTTTGAAAAATAACCAATTATTCCTACTAGTACTGCTAATGAGTTAGAGATTTAACTACTCCCCCCTCCCCATGAATTCTAGGTATTCAATAAGTTTGTATAATAAGGTTTCCTTATGAATATTCATTTATTAATTTCACAAATATGTGCTACTTTTTCATATATGAAGTCTGATGACATATTTCCTCCATTCAACAAGTTCGTCATCTCATGGGAGAGATTAATATATCAACAACTACAACAAAATCTGTTACGTGGAGGATCACTGCTAGATAGGCAGATATGTATGTGCTGTGAGGCAGTTTCCTGACTTGGGAACATCAAAGGTTTTCTCATGGTAGTTGTCAGGATGAGCAGTAGTTAACTGGGCAAAAAGGGTGGGAGGGCTTTCCTTGGCTGAGGAAGTTGTATTTGCATGTGTGTCTGTATGGCTGATATTTGGTGAGAGGTGACTAAAAAGACATGAGCTTTTTTAGATATTCAGGAATGAAGGTAAAGAATTTAGATTTTTCTGAGAGTATTAAGCAGAAAAGTGACCTTATAAGACTTAGATAATTTCTTTTTTTTTTGCACCAGTGTTTGAATCTAGGGACTACTGAATCACACCCCAAGCCTTCCTGCCTCAGTCTCCTGGGCCACTGGGATTACAGGCCATTGCCGCAGTCTGGCTGGGCACAAATTGAGCCACTGAAGCAGGAACAAACTTTATTTCTGAACTCCACCAGCACATTGCACACACGCTCCCCGGGAACTCTACCGAATGCCACGCGGAGACCGGAAATCCCTCCCCTGGCACTTCCCCAACCTATGGGAACTCTCTGGGAATCCCCGCTAGAACTCCAAAGTAGCAGGCCGAGGTGGACAGCAGGGGTCTAACATACACAGCTCAACAAAACCATCATCATCCCAACGGCCTGCTGGTGTCACCTCTCAACCACTCCGTACTGGCAAAAATGCCATGCGTCATTCGGACTCAGCTATGGCTCTCAGCAGGCCATTACCACACCACCATATGATTGCCACCATTATTAGTTATGGAAAATGACAACCCCCCCCCCCAATAGTGAGACCTGGGAAAAGGGGAGTGAGAAGGAAAGCCATATATTGAGAGCGTTGATCCTTTCTCAATACATTTTTTCCTGGTGATAAAACAAACCCTGGGGAGGAGGTGTCCATCAAATCTAGAAAGACAGTCTCTGGGAAGAGGCCAAAGCATTAATCCTTCCCTAAACAAGTCCTTTTCAGATACCAACCACTGACCCCAGGCTTTCCATCAAGTCTAGTAAGATAAATCCCAGTGACTGACTGCTGACCCTAGACTCCCTCCTATTTCACCCAGTAAAACAGACCCCAAATTTCTGCCCAAGCTGACATCCTCATTAATTAAGTCACCTCTCAGTATAACCTACATAAGCTCAGTGCCTTCCTTTGTTCAGTGGCTCATTTTCCACCAGGAAAGTGGGTACATTCCTGTAGGTATAGTCCTGTTCCTGAATAAAGGCTGAAATGATCTGTGAAGTTTGCATCCAGCCTGTCTTTTTGTTCTAACAACCATGCCCAGCTAAGGCTTGATCATTTTATCAGCAACCTGGATTGCTGATCAGAGGCACACATATTGATTTTCATTGGAGAACTGTATGTGTGATCTACGGTGAAGATCTGAGCTAGTGGCATTGGAGGAGACAGAAAGATAGGCAAATTCCAGAGAGATGTGGAATTAGAAGCAATAAGGCCTGGCAACTGTCTGGATCTGAGGAATAAAGGAGAAGGAAGACTAGAAGATGCCTCCCACTTTTTGGGAGGGTGGGTAATCAGGTAGTGGTTCGAAGCCTTCATCTATGTAAATGCATGAGATGGTAGCAGATTTTGGATGCATTGGGTGTAAGATGCCCAAGGATACCCAAGTTGTGAAGTCCTGCCCAGTCAGGGGCATGTATAGGCCGGATCGCCTGAGAGAGACTGGAATTGAGGGAACTTTCTTTGTATATGACTGGCAGTTAATGCTGATTATATTTAAAGGTAGATGGAACCAGAACAGGGTATGTAGTAACAGAGCCAATGATGGAACTGTGAGCTCACTGACTGGTGGTGATGTTGGGAAGACATGAATTCTTGATGGAAATTAAGAATGTTCAGAGAGGTGCAAGGATGGCAGGAAGAGAGGCCTTAAAAACTGAGGGAAGGCAGTTTTGAAGAGGGTATAACCAATAGCATCAAATGCTGCAGAGAGTTCAAATAACATAAGCTCTGAAAAGAGGCTGTTGATTGTCCTAATAGGTCATTGGCAAAACTTGGAAATGGCTCCCATGGGGAGTGGAATAGGCCCTAGCATTCACTGGGTTAAGCCGCAGATGGATGAGAAAGTGAAGACAAGAGGTGTGTGATGTTTAAGTCTCAGTGTTCCTGGGAAAGAGACAGGAGGCCAGGAAATGGGGCTGTGACTGGATGGGGCTGGTAAGAGAGGGAGTGCTTTTTACTTCAGTGGGAGAAATTTGGGCATGTTTCTGTGCCCTAGTGACTGAGCCTTGAGGCTTTGGCCTCAGCAAGAAGAATACTTCCTCTTCCCTGGGTGAGGGATGAAGCTGGAGAAAGGGAAGCCTATGTAGCTAGGACTGTGTGTGCTAGAAGGGAGGAGGTGGGGTTGGAAGGAATGTCACTCAGCCATTCTGTATATGTGCATAGAGAATGAGAACTACTGAAGCCCTAAACTGGGCCATGTGATTTTTGTGATAAAAAGACTGCATGGACAATGTAAAAACTTAGATTATTTATAAGTCTTTAAACCCCAATGGATAAAAAATTATTACTTAATAATATTCACATTTATTTAAAGAATCTTGGTAGAAGAAAAATTAGAGACTTCATTTACCAGTTTTTCAGTCTCTTAGAGGGTTTGTTCAAATTATATCCACATCATTGGCATTTTGGAGCTTGCGGACAACAGAGCAGCTACAACATGAATTTTTAGTGCCAATTTTGACCACAGTGAGGTGTCTAGGAAGGCTGAAGGTCAGGAGTTTGATTGATTAGGTGATTAAAATTCCTTTTAAAACAAATTAGAGGTGGCAGGTTTGCCACAGGTGAGAAGTACTACAAGGAAATGAATCTCATTAGTGTAAGAAACTTCTTGGATCATTAAAAAAAAGTTTAAATGACACACGTGTGTGTGCAAAGGAATGACTTGTGTATTTTATCACCTAGTGTCTAGAGTAATTTTTTTGTACATTTATAAATATAATGCACAGGCCCTAGATGAGGTATGTTTTTTTATTTTTACTTAGATACTGTAAGACTCTAAGTAGTTCAGTTTAGCCACGTCTTATTTTTACATTTATATTTAGTTCTTCTATGTGGCTGGGTGATTAAATTTGTGATTAGGCATTTGAATTTGGGATCCCTGACTTAGGAGGAGGTAGAAAGGGCAAGGAAGAAGCCAGGACAAGTGTGTAGAAGGGGAGGAAGGGACAAAAAATTTTTGAGAAAGGTCAAGAGTGGTAAAATGGTCTTGCTTGTGATAAAAAGTGAAACAGGATTAATGAATAGCAAGACTTTGTTTTCTCCTCTCACATCTATATGATAGCTTTAACCTACGAATTTTTTGTTTTTTGACTAATAGCAAACATTTAGGAAATACAGTGAACCCAGTTGGTTTTCATGTGGTCATCTCAGCTTTATGTAATGTGTGAAGATTCAGCTGAGAAAGTAAATGGCTTCTTCATCTGATGTGAGTGGATGTTTTGTTGCAATGAAGGAGAATTTCTGCTATAAAGAAGCCCAGGTGTGGAGAATCTCTTTGTAGAAGGCATAGAGCTCCCTCGAAGAGGTGAAGACACTGCAGTGTGGAATGTAGTGAACCACAGAGGCAGGAAAGCAAGACATGAGCTGATATTTATGAAAGACTTTCATGTGCTAGGCATATGCTATGTACTGCACAGTTTATGGGTGGTTAATCCTTATGACTCTAAGGATTATATATATCTAATACTTATGACTCTAAGTTTATATATATATATATATATAAAATAAGTATTGATTCCAGTGGAGTTTTAAAATACATATATATATATCCAGATGTGGAGTTAAGTACTATTCTTTCTTATTTTTTCATGAATGTAAATTTTAGTGTTTTGGCTAGGTATGGTAGTACCTGTAATCCCAGCAACTCTGGAAGGCTGAGGCAAGAGGATTGCAAATTTGTGGCCAGCCTTAGCAATTTAGCAAAACCCTTAGTAACTTAGATGCTGTCTCAAAATAAAAGGACTGGAGATGTATTCAGTGGTTAAGTGCCTCTGGGTTCAATCTCCATTATCTGAATAAATGAATAAATAATGCATTTTTGTGTTTTTATTTTGGTAAAATATACATGACATAAAAATTCTTACCGTTTGTAAGTATATAGTAAATGTATCCCATTGTGGTGCAACTGTCACCACGAGAATGGGTTTTTTTCTTTTTTAAAAAATATTTATTTATTTATGTATCTTTAGTTTTAGGTGGATACATTAGTTTGTTTTTATGTGGTGCTGGGGATCGAACCCAGTACCTCATGCATGCTGGGCGAGCACTCTACCACTGAGCCACCACCCCAGCCCGTAGAATGGGGTTTTTCAAACCAAAACTCTGTACCCATTAAACCCTGACTCTTGTTTGTTTCTCCCTACCTTCAAACCCTGGCAACCACCATTCTGCTTTCTATCTTTATGAATTTAACAACTCTTAAGTGCTTTTGTGAGTGGAATCATACAGTATTTGTCTTTCTGTGACTGGTTTATTTCACTTGACATAGTGTGCTCTAAGTTCATCCATTGTTGCAGCCTGTGTTGAAGTTTTCTTCAACTGAAAAATATTCCACTGCATGTAGAGACTACATTTTGTGTATTCGTGTCTCTGTGGACTCTTGGGTTGCTTCCACCTTTTGGCTACTGTGGATAATGCTTCAGTGAACAAGGGTGTGCCGTTACCTATTGTAGTCCTTGTTTTCAGTCTTTATATATATATATATATATATATATATATATATCCAGATGTGGAACTGCTGGATCATATGGTAATTTTATATTTAATTTTTTTAAATTTTATTTTTTAGGGACCTGGGTACTGTTTTCTACAGCTGCTTCATCATTTTGCTTTCTCACCAGCGGTGCACAGAGTTCCAGTTTCTCTACGCAAGAGGTGGGTAGTGTTCACCTTTTAATGTTACAGAGGCAGGAGGGAGGCACAGAGGGAAAGGAAGTGAGCTGCACAGAGGTTAATGGAGGTCACATGTCCAGTTTGCAGTTTGAACTCATCAGCTCAACTCCTGAAACTTAATTCCTGTGACATACAGGTAAGATGAAGCCCAAAGAGGGTAAGGGACTTGGTTAAGGGCCTTCTGTCTGATAGTGTCCAAGCCTGGATTCAAAGCCTGCTTTCAGAGTTCATGTTGGGAAGCATTTTTAAAATTAACCAAAAAGTCATTTTTTTTAATGAAAGTCCTTTTAAAAAGTATTAATCTTTAAATGTCTCTATATAGCCTTTCTCTGCTTTTCCAAATTCATGCTTTAAAATCTTATTATATATAATATCATCTTAAAAAAATGTCTGCAACATGTTTGATTTTCTTTTTATCTTTCTTGGGTGATGTTTTCTTGGCTTAAAATATTAGAATAAGTATTGATTCCAGTGGAGTTTTAAAATACAGCTCTGCTCTATCCATCCCTGTCAGAAGTTTGCTTTTAAATAAAACCAAGGGGAAAGTACCTAAAACTGGATTTAAGTTGGGGAAGTCTGGTGGTAGCAGTGGTAAACATTGAGGACTTGTTTTTATGTAGATAAAGTGAATTTTCCAGCTTTTATTAATAAAGGAGCAACACTCTGAAACTTACGCATTGCTCTACTTAATGTTTTAATAGATTGTTTGTTCTCCCTGAAAGCAGCATAGAGGGCTATTCTGAAAGGAGCGCCATCCCTAGGGGATGTTGGCTCAGCGAGGCCAGTGCCAGTTCATGTCACAGCCTGTCTCTAATGCCTCTCACATTGCTGTCAAGGAGGTGCTTCCGAAAATAGAGATGGAAGGCCTCCTGGACCCTGCCTCATCATTGAGCTGGGGAGCCTGGGTGTGCTTGGTTCTCAACATCTCTCCCAGGGTTGAGGGAAGACAAAGACCTCTTGTCCTAGCATGCCAAGGGCCTATAGTCATGCTAAGACAAATTCTCTGATCTGGAAGATACCTTCAAAATAATCTTTAATTCTGTGGTTCCCAACTATGATGACACATTACAGTCTATCTGGGAAGGGACTTTTAAAAATGATAATGCCAACTGACTCATTGGCATTATGTAGCTCATTGGTAGAACATTTGTCCAGCATGCATAAGGCCCTGGGTTCAATCCCCAGCCCTGGAGGGGGGAAGGAAAAAAAAATGCCAGAGTTCCATCTCAGGTATGATTGATCTGATGTATGTGCCACTGCTGAAGTTTTTGAAGATTCTGAGATGATTCTGGTATATAGCTTGATGTAGGACCATTTTGCTTTAATACCTTATTTTAGGTTGTAAGAGTTTTACCGTGACAAACATGCGAAAATATTGTGTTCTGAGTAGCCTTGGTAGCTGATATTGTTAGAATGAGTTCCTCACATTAGAAGGGAACTTCTTCTCCACCTTCTCCACCACTTTTTCCTCCTCCTCCCCCTCCTCTTTTTTTATTTGTAGTGGAAAGTTATTTTCCTGTCTTCCTGGAGTGTGTCTTTGTATTTAAACACTTTAGTGCTTGCTGCTGTGGAAGATAGACCTAGTTACTTTCATTCAGGTATATAGAAGAAGGACAATAATTCGTTCTCCTAGATTTCCATGGAAGCTCTAGATCACTTTCTGGATTTTGACAGTAGTTTCATTTTGTAATCTGAAGACTTTGATGACATTTGTGGTGATAGTTCTGATAGTTCCTGAAGGCTGCTCACATAAACCTTACCTCCTCTGGTGAAAATAGGTATAGTGCTTTCTACTTTCCTGTAATGTGAACAATTGGCCATATCATAATTTAGAAAATCTTGGTGCATGTTTGAGTGAACCACATAGTCAGTCTTATCACAGGAGAAAGTCAAGATATTCCTAGAAAGAGGGGCCTCAACTCAGATTGAGTGGAGTGCTTGACATATGTTGCAGAACTGAACTAAAAGATACATCATTTTAGAGGCCCAAAGATGTATTTAGGACAGCAGAGACACATTCAGGGGAGAATGTGGGCCATTTGACAATGAGATGCTTTTGGGGTTCTCACACTCTTTGTTTTAAAGGAAACTTGATGAGGGGTGGGCATGAGAAGGTATGTGAGGATGATATCAGTCTGGTTATCTGAAGGCCATTTATGGTTGTCTGGTCAGTGTTAGAATCTTTAAAGAATGGTGTAGTTCCCATTATCTGATCAGTAGATAATGTTGGATCGTACCCTAGGTCATATGTTTCTTAAAATATCATCTCCCTCTTTACTTTGTTACATAGGCTAAGTGCAAAGGTATTTTTTATAAGTGAGTAAATGGATAGTAACTCTAAGATTTACAGATTTCCCAGGAATTTGGGAGTGACAGGCCTGGGAGAAATATTGGCTTTTGGGGTGAAGGCATTTGATCATAAGGCTTTTAAGTGAAAGTTAGTTTCCTTGTCTTTTGTGTCCTTTCTACATATCTCATTTCTTTTACCTACCTGAATCTGAGGGTTCTTCAGTGTGGAGGAATGCTTTGTCTAAACAAACTGTTAGGGCCCTGGGAATGTGATGTATCTGGCATTATGCTGCTTTCCCTAAGGTCCCTGGTATGTTGGACTGTGCTTTAAGGTTATTTGCTTGATAGTATATCAGAGTTTGGAGATGAGATTTAGAGCTTGGTAGAAACAATTATTCTCCTCGCTTTGATTTTGTTTTAATAATGAGTGATTTGCTGTGACATTTTTAAAAAAGTCATTATTTTGTTCTCAGTTTGTATATGAGAGCCCTGTCAGTAGTTGGAGGAGGGAAGATGTACATATGTATGTTCTGTATGTGTTAGAGACCTCCCTGAGTTGTAGAAAATGACTGGGTTACTTTAGTATCTGAGGACTAGGACTCTACCCACTCTAAAATCATTTTTGATATAGCTAGGGCAGAGAGAGAGAGAGAGAGAGAGAGAGAGAGAGAGAGAGTGAGAGTGAGAGAGAGTCATAGTCATCCCTTACCATGTGTTTGGAAGTTGGTTCCTGGACCACTGCAAATACCAAATCCACAGATGGTGAAGTTCCTTATGTAAAGTGATGTAGTAGTTGTTTATAACCTACGCACATCCTGTTGCATCCTTTAAATCAGTTCTATGTGACTTATAATAATTAGCTCAATGTAAATGCTGGGTAAATAGCTGTTACACTGTATTGTTTAGGGAATAATGACAAGATAAATAAGTCTTTACATGTTTAGTGCAGATGTAACTTTTTTCCCTAAGTACTTTTGACTCATAGTTTGTTGAATCCATGGATGGAACACCCACAGATATGGAGGGGGATTGGACTTTATGTGTGTGTGCTTATGTATGCATGTACAAGTACATGTATTATAAGCAACTCTAAGTGTTATATATATTTTTAGGCACATTTGGCTGCTGATTCAGAGTGACATGATCGAAATTCTGTCTCTGATTTATAAGGAAGTCTTAGAAGGGACATTTGCTGCTGATCCTCCTTACTCTTTTCAAAGAGAAGCACACTGGCTTGGGCATGACATTCCCATTTAGATGATTTCTAATAGTTGTGGGCACTGGGAAGATAACTCTCCTCTTATCCTTGTGCAGATTTCTTCTCTTAGTTAATTACTGAGGTGACAGGTGTGTGTGCAGGTGGGGGGTTGGGTAGGGGGCACTGTTGAATGAGAGAGACAGATTGCTTAGATAACAGGCAGGGGCATCTGGTCATTTTGAAGTCTCAGAAAATGAAGACTCTGCTCCCTGGGGAAAACTTCAAGGGGTTCTTGGATCAGTTGGCATGAGTTTTCTAATCTTTGCTCATTTATTTCCCCTACCTCCTTCTCTGTATTTATTCCCAGGTTCTTGACCTCCAGGGGGTGGTTAGTTATGTATGTCACTGAGAAAAGCTTGAAGATTATAGAAATGAGGCCCTTTTTTCTGATTTCTTAATTTAGGTTTTAATATTTTAGGAATTTGAAAGGAAAATGGTAGCAAGGTAGCAGCAAGTTCTCTCTAAAAACCCAGCCCATTGTTTTTTTGAAGATGTTCTACTAGTCCTTGGTCCCCACCCCATCCTGCCTCCTGAGTCTTTCAAAGTCAGAATCACTCATTTATGTGTGAATGCACTGGATTTGAACCCAGGGCCTTGCAAATGTATGTATGTATGTATGTTTGTGTGTGTGTGTGTGTATGTATTTATCTGTGTGTATGTATGTATGTGTGCGTGTGTGTGTGTGTGGACACACACGCACACACACACACATATTTTTTTTTTTGATAATGAGAATTTAACCCAGGGGTACTTTGCCACTGAACTACATTCTCAGTTCCTTTTATTTTATATTTTGAGATATGGTCTTACTAAGTTACTAAGGCTGGACTAGAATTTGGGATCCTCCTGCCTCAGCCTCCTGAGTTGCTGGGATTGGGGTTATCATTGTATACCACCATGCCTGTCTCAAAGCCAGCATCATTTCTTTATTTTATTTTATTTTTTTTTTGGTACCAGGGATTGAACCCAGGGTTGCTTAACCACTGAGCCCCATCTCCAGCCCTTTTTATTTTTTGAGACAGGCACTTTTTAAGTTGCTGAGGCTGGCTTTGAAGTTGGTATCCTCCTGCCTCAGCTTCCTGACTGCTGGGATTACAGATGTACCACTGCCCATAAAAAACAGCGTCATTTCTAAGGGAAAAAATTCAGAATAGTTTGTATCATCTTCATGTAGGAATTATAGTGTCACATGTTATGCAGGTTGAGTGTCCTTTATTTGAAATGTTTGGGACCTGTGATGTTTTAGGTTTCTGATTTTTTCCCCCCCAGATTTTAGAATATTTACCTATGCATAATGAGAGATCTTGGGGATGGGACCCAAGTCTAAACATGAGATTAATTTATGTTTTGTGTACACATAAGCTGAAGGTAATTTTATACAACAATTTTAGTGCACTTTTAGTCTGCCACCTGTTACATGAGGTCAGGTGTGGAA